ATTTCTTAAAAGGAGGATGACTGTTAGTTTGATTAACCAGAAGTATTACAGCAATCACCGAGGCGAGCAACGGAGGAGCAGGAGCGTTTGCAGCCCTAATAGAAGCAGTACGAACAAGCTTCGGGGATATTTTTTGCTAGTACTATTGTAAAGTGTTTGAAAAGATCGACAAAGATCGGGAATTAACAAAAAAGGAGGGAAAGTGGGGAGGAGGGAGAGGAGCGGCCAGGTACTTAAATAGCTGTAGGACCTGAAAGGCCAGTAGCCTGAATATAACACATGCACAGCCCTACCAGGCTCAAAGTTACTTAGCAAATAAGTTGACGAATGCAAACGGATTGAGAACTCAACTTCAAAAAGCGAATTTTTTTTTTTAAATACAGCTTTTCAATAAGATAATACCAAAGCTGCCTGGGTTATCAGTATGGGTATCCTTTATCAGTGATGTTTGCTGTGATGCATCCACACGCCGAGCGTAGCTATGCCAGACTCTTCGATACTGAACTGCATGTCTCAAACTAGCACCCATCGCCGTTCTATGTACGTATGTCACCTTTTCGGTTATCGGCCGAGTAATAATAATATTTTTAAAGAGAAATTCAGTGTGGAACTTGCAATTGGTCAGATGCGAGAAGTCGTCCGGATGGAGAGATACGTAGTGCTCGACGACGGCGTCACGTGTCTTATAGTGATATTCACGCAAGCAGCCGACCACGTAGCCAACAGTACCCAGAAACGCTAAAGCAGCCAAGCGCGGATACAAACCTGGAAATGTTGCAGCACTGTTGGTCTCTCACAAAGGCAATCAATCCATTGTATGCCTCAGGCCTGTGAACTCAAATGGAGTGCAGAAAAACAGAGGAACACGCCAAACTTACTGTAGAAGAATGGCTTTCGCGCCCAATCGCAGTAATACTTCCAGGAAAGCAGGCCACTGCCAACAGCAAAGAACGTGACGCCCCAGCGACGCGGCCAAGTTGTCGGATCGGCCCAGACAAACGGTCGAGAATTGTCGCGCAAATACGATTCACGTCGGATCAGCTCTTCCTGGTCCACTTTACTGCTTCTTAACATGCCCTTAATTCTAGCAATCTTTGATCCCTTCCCTTATCATTCACTTCCTTTTATCACTCACCACCCCCATCACCACCGCCAGCGGCAAAAACGCGCGCGACTCGCTCAGGTCAAAGCAAAAAACATCGAAGAGACGAAGCAT